ATTATAGGCAAAAACAATAAAAAGATACAAATACACTAAAATGGAAAAGGTTAGATATGAACCCGAATGCTTTGCACTTATAACTTCTTAAACACTCTCTTCACTATCAAATGTGCTAATTCACATATTCAAAAGAAAATGTGACAAAAACCAATATGATAGTAAAAGCTAGAGCAAAATTGGGATATGACGTGTCCTCCTTTAACATACCTATATGTAGGTTTTTATCCCTCTTTAGCTCTTACAAATTTGTATAATCCTTCAAAAGCTTTAGTTTTTGCTTCGATCATTGCCCTCTTAGTCTCTTTCTTATCTTTCTTATAAATTTCTCAATTTCCAAAATTCTTACACCAAGACTAATCTTTCAAACATTTATTTTTTACTTTTATTTTACTCAGAATATTTTCATTCCACCATTACGACAACATAACTCATACCCAAAAGATACCCACCCAAACTCACCTCGAATTTGGTGGGGAAAAATCCACCTTGACTAGGTTTGGATTCGAGTTTGTGTTTTTCCTGATTATAAAATATGACGACGGTCGGGTAATGGGGACATTAGTACCCACCCCGAACCCGCCACATTTATTTTGTTATGTACTTTATTATTTTAAATTTGATAATTTATAATATTAAATATGTGATTAATGTTTGATACTTTGATTTTTATTTATTATTTATAATAACTAAAATATATGTATGAAATTTTTTGAGATATTTATTTTATTTTATTATTTATAATGTAATTTGATTTTGGAAAAATAAATATTTTTATTTAAAAAATTAATTTCATTAAGTAGACGGTGGTATGGTGGGGATACACGAACCAGTTTGGAACGAGTTTAAGTTTTAATTCTCCATTCTCGATGGGGATTGGGATGAGAAACGAGGATTGTTTTAGGATTCGGGGTTGAGTATGAGGGAAGTAAAAACTGTCCTCAATCCGCCTCGTTACCACGCATACTTCAAGCACAAAAGGGGATGGATTATGGTATTAAAATTTTTGATTACTTTAGTGGTTTTCTTAGTTATACTTAAAATTTTGTTAGTAATTTCTAAAAGAGTGAGCAACAAAAAAAAGGTAAAAATAAATAACAGAAATTAAAGAGGATATGACTAGAGAAATTGCACCTGAGAGTTATACAAGTTCAGACAGACATTGACCTAGTCTTATTCCCAGATCTTTTTGAGAATTAGACTATAAACTTTGAGCTTTTGAAGATTACGCCGATGAACCTTTATACAATCGATTTTTAAGATTTCTACAGGTGTATCATCAATCAAAGATAGCTTTTACCATATGCTAAGCTAACAGACCTTCTTAAAGATTTTCATGCTGATCTCAATAACCAAAATAAAACTTTTTCTAGCAAAGGTCTAGAAACAAAAAAAAAGATTTTATAACTGGTTTACCTCACAAACCAAATTCAATATAAAATTATCACACTCTCAATATTTAAACAAACAATACGACCACTTACAAACTCTTTATCACAAGCAAAGTTTCACTCGAGAGCACTATGACAACTTTAAGTGAACACAAATATTTCTTAGAGAGAGAATGGGAGAAAATAGAGAGATAAATTCTAAATAAAATGTAAAGTTTTGGAAAGTGACATGAAATGAAGAGGAGGGGGCCTCCTTTATATAGGAGTTGAAAAATTAGAAAAGAAAATAATCCATGAGCAGAATTGATGAGCCAATCAACTAACATAACACTCTAATAGATTGAATTAGTAATTTTTAATCAATTACCTTGCCCAACATGGAAATATTTGATAAAGAGTCATTACGAGTCATTAAGACGACGTCCCGATCATTTCCTTAATCGTTTAGGCTATATCTAATTGACTGGCTTAATGCTCAAATCAATTGGCAGACTCAAAAAAGTTTTTCCAATTGATTGGGTTGGGTTCTCGATTGATTGAATAGTTAAAAAAAAAAAACCTTTTAAATGATTGTAGGAAGTTTCTTAATCAATTGGCTTGATTTTGAAAACATTTTAAGATGTAAAACGATTAGAAAAAGTCTTTCAAGTGTGTGTGTGTGTGGGGGGGGGGGGGGGGGTGCCTTAGAATTTAAGAGGTACTTCCTTACTTTTACAAATCTATGGTCACTTAGACTGACATAACCTGACAAGCTTTTAAACTTTATACGAGGCTTCAATATTTTTTGTTGGATGCATCGATTATATAAGCATTTCAATCTTTAGTCTCTTTTTCTTGATGATGATTTTAGATGTTTTACTAATTGGTTCACTATCATTAGAGTGTTGAGAGCCATTGCCACCAATTTCAATATGTGACATTTTCATCATCAAAACATCAGAGGGAATCTTTTGTGGAGTTATCAAATTTATATCTGCAAGCACATAGGTCCACCTCAGCATTGTCGTATCGGAGATTCGCACCACCATATTAAAAGTCCACTAACGTCAATCAATCACATTTCTAATTTCAGTATGTAACATCTTTTATACGACCTCTTATTTGTTTCCCCCCTCATTTCAACTGCAACCTTATTTCTCATTATACTTATTGAGATACAAGGTGCTCATTATTATTTTTTCCTCATACACAAATTATTGGTTTTTGGTTCTTCCTAATAGTAGATTCTAATGGTAGAAATGGTTGCGGAAAAGAAAAATCCTAATTAGACCTTATAGAGATTTTGTCAAAACTTGTCATCCAACTTTTACTTAAAATGCAACTAATTTTCTTGCTCCTCCTTCACCTATCCACCTGTTATGTCTATGAATATTCCTCTTTCTACTATCCTACTTCAATATCTTTTTTTAGCGCAGACTCTTTTAATAATTGATTCTTCTAATTTCTTATTTATTTTTTCTCCTTTGTATTTTTTCCTACCCTGTCTTCTTCCTTGTCACCCTATTGTAATTTTTTTTCCTTCTCTTCTGTAGTTTTCTTTGAAATTTTCTTATTTTTCTTGTTTGTAGTTCTCTTATTCTTCGATGTTATCATTTTTCTAATATATATATATATATATATATATATATATATATATATATATATATATATATATATATATATATATATATATATATATATATATATATATTACTATAATGCAACAATTTTTTTAGTTCTTTTATCGACTTATATTAATAAGAGGAAAATTTTATCCCATACCCCTGCATTTAGCCCAATGCCCCTAAAATTTTAAAAATTGGACAAAAATACCCCTGCATACATATCCAATATTTCAAAATTTGTACTTTTCCCTCATTTTCTTCTAGCTAGAGCGTGAAAAAACCAGTGCATAATTTTTGACTTCCGGAGAATCCAACAAAAAGTTATCCGGTTCACACTTTTTATGGTTACACATCGGATAAATTTTGGTGTAGTTATTCGATTAGTATTTTTTTCACACTGGATAACTTGTGGTGTAGTTATCAGGTTCTTTTTTTCTCACCAGATAACTTAGCCTTATGTTATCTGGTTCTTTTATTTTCTTAACCGGAGAACTTGACTTGTAGTTTTCTGGTTTTATGGATTTTGACTTTTTTTAGTGGCTCACATTTAAGGAAGGGATGGACTCATTTATCGATGATATGATGAAGGGCGGTCGAATCAACAACCATTAAATTGGGAGGAAGATCAGATAGTTGCACCTGTGCCTATTCCACTGGATCCACCATTTTCCGGAGGACCGTCTGATACGTCTCTTTTAGTGAGGTATCAGAATCATACTGCTCGCCATTTGTGGGATGACGAAGTAAGTTTGTTTATGACATTTTTATATTGAATCAAGTTTAATGTTAATTATTTATATATATTATAACATATATTATAATTTATTTTCAAGAGAGAGTTCTGAAGAAAGAGTTGAAGGTTGTTGCACATTGCAGCAAGTTGATTAGATGGGTTCCACATAGTCTCCCATCAGTGATTGAACGATAGTTATCTGATTCTGGTCTATTCTTTCTACAGATAACCAACTTATCGAGGATAAATCAGAACTTAGTATCTGGATTTATGGAGAGATGACATCCATAAACATTGTCATTTCATATGCCATTTGGCGAGATGACTATTACATTGGACGATGTTTCTTGTATACTTCATCTACCGTGTAGGGAGAGTTGTGTAACCCTACAGAAAGGTTCACTGATTTAGATGGCATTACTCAAGTTATTGATCTCTTGAGTGTTTCATTGGAGGATGCAGCTAAAAAGGTTCGTGTTTGCAAATACTCCATATGATGTAGTGCCTGATTACTTGAATTGGTACTACAGGGTGTCACATCCTCGTTATGTTAGTGATGATGATTGATGTGATATTTACTATTCATACTTATGTAGTATTATTCAGACTTACGTATTATTCTTCAGACGTATGTCATATTCTTCAGAGTTATGTAATATTATTCAAAATTATATAATACTCTCTATTTAGTATAATCCCAAACATACCATGAATTAAATATAACACAAATCAAATGTCAAAACGAATCAAAATATAAAAATCACATTTCAATCATAATCTAACACATTTCGACACCACAGGCGTAAGTTGCTGCCAATGTTGTAACTGTCCAACAAATCTTATCATCCAAAAAGTTGCATCTGATGTGAGATACTTTTTCTAGTCCAATGTGATTGGTGGCAAGGGAAATCCTTCGTTCATGTTTACCTGTTAAGAGACATTAGTAAGTGAGACATAAATGAAAGATAAGTAATTAACATAACAAACATGAATGTTTACCTGGACCCAATGATTTTGGTTGACAAAACCAATGCAGTAAATGGATACATTAGATGAATGTGAAGTCGTCATAGGAAAGAAAGTCAAACTAGGATAACCCAAAGACACTAGAATGACATTATACCAATTTGCTATCACATGATCTATATCTGGTAATGTCATCCATTTATCTAACGGCCGAGTACCTAAAGACGATATCATCAAGGAGTCTCTCACTTTTGATAAGTGACTTCCAAATAAATTTTCATATAGACTGATTCTGGAACCTCTTATTTAATTATTCAAATCACGACGAACCATTGACCAACCATCCTCACCATATCCATACATTGATGCAATCATTCTATACCCACAACTTCTCTCCCTCTTAACATCAACAATATCATCAATAAATTGTATGATATGCTCTGGAAATTGTACAATGTACCTATTAGATGGTTTCTTCTTTGACGTTTGGGATAACTGTGAACATGGCCTCTTTGAAGATTTTTGATAAGTGTTGTGTGCTTGATCAACATATTCATGACATGAAGGATCATGATAAACATCATATCCCACAAGTTTCTTCCATTTTCTCTTCACTCCTCCTTTGGTCTTTATTTTTTCAGGCGGTGGGACCATTTTTATTGTAGTGGGGTAAGCAATTTCACACACCCTATTTTTTAGTGTTTTATTTCCTGCAACATCTAACGACCTAAACCTTTTCCACATTGCATTAATTGCATTGGTCACGTCCACCTCTGCTCCATCCTCTGTATCTACCCCTTGTTCACCTTCCATGCTAAGCTTCCTCCAATGTATATGAATAACATCAATTAGTATTGGTTCACCACTTAACGTATATCGCCCTAACTCACAAGCACAAGGTAACCCGTATACTTTTCTATGACTACACCCGCACATTTGGGTGTTTGTACCCACCATGCTAACCCTGTGCCACTCTTCAACAATGTGTCTCAAAGCAGCTCTAGATACTGGTCCCCGTGAATTCCCATAAAATGGACTAGTGTGCGCATGCTTAACTTCATAAAAACTTTTATGAAATGAAGCTCTAATATTACCCTATTGCACCTTGATGTTCCCATTCATAGCCTCCCAATATTTGCATATATCATCTAAACTATTCTCCAACATCTGCTTCAGTTTCCAATGTGCAAACTCAACCCTAACAAAAAAAAGTTAAGTATCATTAATATTAAGTTAAACAAACTATGGCTAAAATCAAACGCCTTACCTATTAGTCATGGTGTTGCCCAAATGCAACACTTTATTTATCCAAGATTCAACAAATCTATGCATGTAAGGCATCAACCATGTGTCTTTCACATAATAAAAAATGGTCTAAAATCCATACATAAATGCTCAAGCTATTGCAACTTTTGATGGTACTTCACCTCATCATTATCTCTTACAAGTTCATACCATATCTTCTCTATCGGCTCTCACATATCATTCACAACATACTTCTTTCACTTCGCTTTTACATTCTTATTAGTGTGAAATTGACAAAGAAAATTAACTGTCGTTGGAAATACTATTTTAATTGCTTTCATAAAAGCAAGATCTCTATCCATTAAAATCACTTGTGGGCTTGTGGCCATAACCCTTGCTTAATGAACAACTGTTTCAACTTATCCAGTACCCAACACAAATTCTTTGTTTGCTCATATTCCATATAGGCAAATGCAACAACAAATGTTAACTCAGTTGATGTCATACCAACTACTTCAAACAAAGGTTCCATGTACTTATTTGTTTTGTAAGTATAGTCCATAATCAACACATTAGAAAATATATTCAACAACTTCACTGATCCTGGATGGGCCCATAAGATATCTCTCACAACTTCCGACCATATTTTTTCTACTCCAATAAATATAATCAGATTCCTCTATCAATTTAAACAACTGTTGCATTTTCGTTCTAGGACCCCTGATGTCTTTCTGAATCTTAGTCTTATGTTTATATATTTGGGTGATTCGAGTCACATTCTCCAGATCCCGTTCTTGTAATGAAAACAATATGTGTCTTGGTGGAACATGGTGTTTTGTCAAATCAATAATATGTTGTTGTTCATTAGCATTAAGTCGACATATAAACGCATGTCCTTCAAATCTATCAGGTAAATCATGGTTGTGAAGTCCACATTTTACATCAACATTCCAACCAGAATCATCTTTTAAAGGTGTTGACCTAATTTTGAATGGACAACCACATTTCTTGGTAGTACTTTATGTTTCACTTTCACAACCAAATATAACTCTGTCACTTCTTCCTCCCTTGCTAGTTTTGGTGTCCGGACGGGTTATTATAACAATAACTTTATTCCTGACTCCAACCTTCTTAATCCACCTAGCCGCATCTTCTCGTGTGGAATTTTTTTTTGTAGTCAAGAATATCTCAATCGTGTCTACACATGTCTGGTTTTTATCGCATATCATCAATGGAATGTCCATGTCTCCTAACATAAATGTGACAAAAATTAATAAAAAATAAAAAATAAAAGTAAAAAATTAAAAAAGATTAAAAAATGTGTCCTAGAACTCTCGAGGACAAGAAATCCAGTTATGAAAAAAACAAAACCGGAACTCTTCAGTACATGTTATCTGAAATATAGAAAAACAAAGACCGAAAAATGTATGTCATTGTTATCCGAAAAGTATTATGTGATTCAGATAACTCACATGCAAGTTATCCGGTTTGTTAAATCCAACAATCAAATTTCTTTAGTTTGTGTTTTTCAGTTTGATTATAATACACTCCAGATTTCTTTACCTTATGTTATCCGTTTAGTATCGTATAATTCCAAAATAGTACTTTTTTTGACTCATCTGACTTCACAGTAAAAACTATAAAAAAAATTGAAAATTGAAAATTTGAAATATTCAAAAATTGTAGGAGTATGAGGATAAGTGTGGGGGTATGAGGTAAAATTTTCTAACTTATTATTCCCCTTAAAAAAAACCAGGTTTGGTCCCCTATTTTGAATTTTTCTAGGATTTTTTTGATCCCCTCTCATATTTGACTATATGGCAACCTCATTTATGATGTGGTAGAGGTTGTGTTGACTAATTTTGAAAATTGTATTGCCACATCACTTAAAACCAATATTAATTAATTAATATAATTGAAAATCATTTAAAATAATTCTTTTATAAAATAAAATCTCAAACTCAAACTAATTCTTTTAGAATAATTCTTACCTTTATTTAACCTTAACAATGACAATTTAGAACTAACTTTTTTCACATCAGACCTTTATTTAACTTTAATTACAAAATATATGGTTAAAGATTTACATCCAATGCAATACAATTGTTTTGTACATATCTTGTCTAATTTTGTCCAAGTAACAATCCTGTCAAAATTGCATAGAAATTTCACAATTTCTTATCTTATTAGGTGTCCAACAGACCAAAGAGGAGGAACAAAAAGACCATCATTCAAGTACCTCACCACCCTCCATTTTCGTTTCCATCATAACTTCAACTCACCTACAACTTTGTTCATCCACCACACCTCACCATGCTTCATCCTCATCCTCAAGCTACATCCGCCGCCGTGAGAAAACATACCCGTCGTCTGTCTCCTACCTCATCGTTTACAACCTTTCAAGCATTTAAACAACCATCAAACTTCTCCGAAAACCCAACTCACTATCGTCAGCTTTCTTCGGCCATCCATTTCAAGTCTCCTCCATAACCGCCATGAAAAGCTCACCACAAACTCAGTTGAACTCACGTTCATCTTCACCGTGCTCAACATAACCGCACCCTCAACGTGAACAACCACCGCAGACGAACAATGTTTTTGTTGTTTCAGTTTAAACATCATATATGTGCGGGTTCAATTTCATACAATTTAGGAAATGAGTATTTGATCTGACCTGATCAGAAGGGAGTCAATGACCTGCCACACGTCGTTGATCTGCTAGGTGTTCACCGGAAGTATGGAAGAGGAGGGGGTGTACCTACAAGACACTCCGATGCCAAAGTGATTAATGGACCAAAGGGGGAGAAAATACAGAAGAGAGGTTAAGAAGTGAATTGAATACCTGACCCTCTAGTGAAAGAAGGTATTTATAGTGAGACCCTAGCGCAGGGGCAAAAGTCACTTGTGTTGGGCTGGATTGTCAGGCCCAACCCAGGTGACTGCTAGGACTTATGTGGCGTAGTGAAGACCAACACGTGGTATTCACTCTAGTTCAACCGTCCCGTGATCTCCGGAAAGTGGGCTGACCAGCTCTTTCGGAGGTGGGTAGTTGGCTGATGACGTGTCCCCGCGGAGGGGGCACGTGGGGAACGTGCGGAGGACGTGTTGTTCTGCCCGACAGAGGGATGCGTCCTGCTCGCCGAGGGAGCTGTCTGGTCGACGGGAGAGTCTGTGCCCGACACTGGGCAATTTGGGCCTTCCCCAAATAACGTTGGGTTGGGCCAGTCCAGAACAGTATTAATGGAGATTCAGACATAAAAGTGGTGTGATAAAGAATTTGGGAACTTGGACAAGTAGAATTTTCTGGGTGTAAGGGGGAAAACAAGATTGAAAAGGGGCAAGAATGAGTTTGAGATTTTATTTTATACATAAAAGAATTATTTTAAATGATTTTCAATTATATTAATGAATTAAAATTGGTTTTTAAATGATGCGACAATATAATTTTTAATATTGGTCAACACAGCCTCGACCACATAGTCAAATATGAGAGAGACTAAAAAAAATCCAAAAATTTTTAAAACAAGGAACTAAATAGTTGATTTTTTTTTAAAATGGGACCGAAAAGATAGAAAATTTATTTTAAAAGAACCAAAATTGTATTTAGAAAAAAATGGATGGAAACACGAGAAATTGAATATTCAAAGAGATTGAAGAATTAATCAATGAGATTAATTACTATGCACTTTTACAGAGTTGATTCACCACCATTATCCGTTTGCATTATTTTATAATTGATTAAAATAAAAGTCAAACTCTTTCTAAGATCCAACCTTTATAATTAATTGACTGTGTATTTCAATTAAATTCTTAATTAATTCCAATAAATATAATTTCATACTTATATATATATATATATATATATATATATATATATATATATATATATATATATATATATATATATATATATATATATATATATATATATATATATATATATATATATATATATATATATATATATATATATATATATATATATATATATATATATATATATATATATATATATATATATATATATATATATATATATATATATATAATTTTCATAAATATGGATAATTAAATTATGAGAAAAAAAAATAAACACGGACCGTGAAAAATATTTTTACACTATTAAGTAATGACCGACATGTATTTCACTTCATCATACTTTATTTTTAAAATAATATTATAATTTGACACTTTAAAATAATCTAATTGAATGTCTGAATAATATTTCTTTACGCATTATCTTTAAACTTTTAAATTATTGTAATTTGAATTTGATGCACCTCACAAACTTATTTTTGTCGTGTCTCTGTTCAATAACAAAAATGTGTCAAATTATCTTGCTCGAGGAACACAACTACTCTTATGTTAACAGAATGATTTGCAATCCGTTAATTTTGTCTTCATAATAGAATAAATATTATTTATTTAATTGTGCGAGTAAAATAAAATAATTAATGGTTTTCTGATAATTGATTATTTTTAGTAATGACAACTAATTTATGATAGACAAATATTGCAAGGAAAATGCTAAACTTTAAGAAGAAAACATAGCAAGAAAGCGAAGAAAGTGATGTGGCAAGTTGTTATTGGATGAGCCACTTTGATAACCACCTACCCGCTACCCATGTAATGTTATCAATCCCTGATTGTTGTGTAACGGACCCTGCCACGTTGATTCTGGCTTTTCGTTATACAATTTCATCCTACAAAATAGCACTGCTCATATTGCAAATATAGCGGACACAAATTTTGTAGAAAAAGAACCCCAGCCCCCATTTCTTCCTACCACCGTTCAACACTTCCAACACCGCCCTTTCCACTTCCTCGTTCAACTTCCGATCTCCAACTTTTGCAGCCCCACCGTCAAAATCAACAGCAACCTAACAGAAACAATTAGAAGTTACAGTTTGTTGCGTACTCCAATGTGGGCAGTTCTGCGAGCTCGTGCTTATTCCTCGCGCTATGCATCAAATCCCCAGCCCCTTCTTCAACCATGGAAGCTAGGGTTTTCCTCTCTATCCACTACCGTTAACACTGACGGTGGCGTCACTAAATGCTTCTTAGATCTGCAAGAGATCGAGAAGATTCTGACGGACGTTCAAGCTGACGACGTCAAGATAATTCCAGTTCCCAAACACAGCGAGTGGGCGGATTTCATGGTTCTCGCCACTGGTAAATCCCCATGGCACGTCAGGAACATCGCTCAAGCCCTAATTTACAAGGCATGTTCATTGTTCGTTACTTCTTCTCCCTTTATGTTCATTCGTCTCTGTGATGATTGATTAGGTTTAAACACTTACGGTTCTTAATTTTCTAATTGAACTTTAAGAAAAAGAAATTGAATAGATGTTTGTTGATTTTTGTGTTAACAGGCTAAGCAGAAGCAGATAGGCGCTCAGCAAATGATGCTGCCTAGTGTGCAAGGGCAAGAGGATGGAAAATGGATTGTTATTGACTCTGGTATATGCTGTTTTTTTTATAATTTTTGTTTTGTATCTATTCGTTTTGTTGAATTTGAAAAAAAAAACATTGAATTTAGAAGAACCCTATGGAAGCAAAACTATGGTAATCATAATGGCCTGTAATGTGTAATATCATCATTCATTAGCTTCTTAGTTGAGGGAGAGAGATGTTCACTCATGTTATCAACCATAAACCGGTGTGTAGGTACTTATGCAACTTAGGGGTCTGGGGGATGGTGCTTTTCTATATCCTAACTAATTTCTAAGACGATAGTTAGTAGTTAGTAGGGCCTATGTATATGGGCGGCTACACATAAATTAGGTTGCTGACTCTGATAGAGTCTAATCTTGTGTCTATATGACGTACCAATTTGATATCCAATTCATTATTAAGATTGTTAGAAGAGTAAATAGAAACTTAAAATCGCAAACAACAAACACGATTTTTGTTCACGCAGTTTGCCCGTGTGTGCATAGGTTTGCCATTTCGGGTGTGCATCGTGTGCATGGCCCTGTTATTGAATAGTAAACTGAAGTGTTTGGATTCTACAACTACTTTTTCATTGTTGCTTGATCCTTTGTATCCATTGTGGGAATGCTGCAATATATCAATCCTATCACGCGCCTCTTAGAATCTCACTCCTTTCATTTCTTTGAGCATCTTGTGGCTTGACAAGGCATCAAGGAAAAGGATCTCTATATCATTTGATTTTGGGTATAGTTTTTTCCTTGTCATCATTGGCTACGGAGTGTAGAGTAGATTTCTATCAATCTTTGGTCGAATATAAAGTATGCTATTCTGTGTTAGTGACTGTTTCTGTTTTTTGCATTAGAAAAATGAAATTAGTTATTTGGTTCTATCCATGTCTTGTTTTTCCATACTTATTCATTTCCTTTGTTCAGGTAAAGTGATAGTTCATGCACTTGATGAAAATGCTAGAGCATACTACAATTTGGAGGGTCTTTGGACACGCGGGACATTACAAAATGAACCTGTTGAGGTAAATATGCGCCTAACTTAGTGTTCCAAAAAAATTAGGTTTTGTTCTCATTTATAGGTTTAATATAAATACATAATATATAAAGTTCGCATAATCATTTTGGAAGCAACTAATTTAAATTTGCATTAGTTGGCCTGTTCTATTGAAAACTGCTGTTAAACGAGTCACTTTGTATTGTTATTATTAATCATGTAATGCAATTTATGAAATGCTACATCAGTTGCACCTCATTGGATATTAGTAAAAGGCTACTTTGTCTAAGTTTTTACCAACAAAATTTGGTTGACCCAATTTTGAAAATCATATGTGAGACTTCCCAATTTACAACTTTTATGTCTCTAGTCCCAAGTGACTTTTCACTTCATTCATTAGTTAAGATTTATATTTATGGCTCCCAATGATTGGATTGGAATTAGAAAATGGTGCTTACTACCCGGCAATCCTTTAGGCCTTGTCGGTAATGTCTTCTTCCTGCCTTGTACCAGTTGCGAAGAGTGGCTCAAAACAGTAAGCGGGTGACTACCAACTGGGAATTCTGTTTGTAGGAGGTCTTAAGCGCACATTTGTTTGCTTAAGCATCTCGTGCTAACATTTTGAGTCATTTTCATCTGAGTAGCCTTAAGGAATCACAAACATAAATTCTTTGTTATTGTTATTATTATTGTTGTTGTTATTGCCATTTTTAGGCAAAATTTGTGGCACGACTGATCTGAATAATCTCTTATTTTCTTTGATTTTTAGGATTTACAAAACGTTTTGGTGAAGGTTCGTAGGAAAAACAATTCCAAGAAACCTGCTCAAAAGAATCCCTAATTGGTATTTAGATGTAAGAGGGCTGCAAACAATAACCTTTAACTATAGTTTCTGTCTATTTAAACAATAGTTAATTTGTATATCGTCAACTTCATTGTATACAATTTTGCCTGGTTGGTCTGATTGCTACAATGAAAAATTTAAGCAGACATAAAGCTGAAGTCTTCAAGTTATGATTTTCATTAAAAGTTGGAGCACGGCTTTGTTTACATTTTACCCATCTTTCTTGAACCATTTACCCGAACATATATATTTTTTAAAATTTGCCTTTCGTATTTGTTCAATTAAGTTACTATTGTTTTGAGAAAATTTTACCTCATACCCCTATAATTATATCCATAGCCCTACATTTATACCCATATCTCTACATTTTTAAAAAAATACCAATTTTATCCTTGTCTATTTTTTATTATTTTATTTTTTTTTACTTTTTACTGTCCTGTCAGATTTTCAAAGTTCTGAAAAATTCACCTATCAAGTTGTTCGGAACACTTTTAAAATGACTTTCGGTATGTTGTTTTTTTCCAAACCGGAAGACTTTGGCTAAGAGTTCTGGTTTATACAAAATATGTACCGGAAGAGTTAAACAAAGACTTCCGGTTTGAGTTTTACGTAGAAATCTTTCAGAAGACTATATGTCATGTCTTCTGGTTTGATAGTATTATTTACCTGAACACTTGTCTTAAGAGTTTCGGTATGAACGAAAAGTGTACCGAAACACTTTTTACAAGTCTTCTGGTTTATTATCTTTGTCTATCGGAACTCTTTTCCTGAGTCTTCCGATTTGCTTTTGTAAATTTTTTTTATTTTTTTTATATAGGTACAAAAATTCCTTCACAAATATGCGATAAATATCAGATATGTGTAGATACGTCTGATGTTTTTTACACTAAAAGATTTGGTACACGAGAAGAGATGATAAGATGGATTAAAGAGATCGGAATCTGAAATAAAGTAACGGTTATCATCATTCGTTCAGATATTGAAACAGGCAAGAGAGAAAGAAGTAACAAATTAATATTTGGATGTGATAAAGGTGGAAAACACAAATATATTGACAGTGGAACTCAGAGTGCGACGAAAAAATGTGGATGTCCATTTAGAATCAGATCAATTCCAGCGACTGATGGAAGATTGATGTAAAATGTGGAGTTCATAACCATGGTTTACCGGATAGATTAGAAGGTCACGCATTTGTTGGTAGGTTAACAGCGGATCAGAAGCAACTTGGTGTTGATTTGACAAATAGAAAGGTTCCACCTAGACATATATTGCTTCCATTGCAAGATTCAAATAATGTCACTCGGATCACACAAATATACAAGCAGAAGAGTATGATAGAAAAAACTATAAGAGGTCCTAGAAGTGAGATACAACGTTTGTTTAAGCTTATTGAGGATGCAAGTTATGTTTATTGGAGTAGAAAAAGAGATAACTCTGGAGTTATTAGAGATATATTTTGAGCTCATCCAGATTCAGTTAAGTTGTTGAATATTTTTTCTATTGTGTTAGTTATGGACAACACTTACAAGACAAACAAATATAGGCGATCTCTGTTTGAAATTGTTGGCATGACATCAATCGAGTTGACTTTTGTTGTTGCATTTGCGTATATTGAGTCTGAGCAGACTGAGACTTTTTGTTGGGTGCTAGATAAGCTTAAACAATTGTTTGTGAAGAAAGATTTGTGATCACAAGTGAATTTGACAGATAGAGATCTTGGTTTGATGAAAGCCATTGAAATTGTGTTTCTAAGGTCGATCAATTTGCTATGTCGATTTCATATTAACAAGAATGTTGGTGCAAAACGGAAATAATATGTGGCTAGTGACATGCAAAAGAAAATTGACGAATTATGGACGAATGTTGTATGGGCTAGTAATGAGGTTGAGTATGATTAACGGTTGAACCAACTTGAGCAGGCGTGTGTTGATTGTAATGAATTTATTGATTATGTGAAGGACATATGGTTGACACCACATAGACAAAGATTTGTTGGAGCATGGATCAATCGAGTGCTACATTCGGATAACACCACGACTAATCGGTATGTATTTATTTTTAGTATTTCTAAATTGTAGATCTTTTTTGTATTTTTTAAAAATATTTTTAACATGTATTAATTTTAGAGTTGAGTCTGCTCATTGGAAGTTAAAACAAATGTTGGAGAACAGTATTGGTGACACGGTCAAATTTTGGTCAAATTTTGAGGAACAATATTGGTGACATGGTCAAATGTTGGAAGGCTATGAATGACAACTTAAAGTTACAATTGGACAAAATTAGAGCTTCTTTTCAAAAGAGTTTTTATGAAGTTGAGCACGCCCACGTAAGTCCATTTTACAATAATTTACGTGGTTCAGTGTCTCGAGATGCATTGAGACGCATTGTTGAAGAGTTAAAACGAGTTGATTATGTAGGAACTAACAAGGAAATATGTCGTTGTACTCTTAGAACAACCTACAAATTACTTGTGCTTGTGAGTTGACATGATATAAAATTGATGGTATACCGATACAATAGATGCTGTGCATGTTCATTGGAGAAAACTAAGTATGAAAGTTAAGTTGGACGAAAACGTAGATGATGGATCAGAGGTGGATATGAGTAGTGCAATAGATGAGTTATGGAAAAGGTTTAAGTCACTGAATGTTGTTCAAAGAAATTTCAATCATCACAGGCTTCACAAAAGAAATTTCAACTATCTGATTAGGAAATTGAAGGATGAACTGCTTAGATGACTGTGAAGATTGTGATCATTTCAACTTCTTCGAAGCTTGTGATGGTTGAGATTTCTTTGAAGTCTGTGATGGTTGAGATTACCTCTGTGAAGATTGAGATGTTTGATCAACATACTCGTGATACGAAGGGTCTCTATAAACATCATACCCTACTGGGTTTTTTTGTCTTTCTTCTTGACTTCCCCTAGAAGTCATTGTGGGGAAGGGAAGTTCAAAAACCCTAATTTTTAAGGCCCTTTTCCCAGCAACATCCAGTAACTTAAACCTTTTCCATAACTCATCTATTGCACTACTCATATTCACCTCTGATCCATCATCTATGTCTTCGTCCAACTTAATTTTCATACTTAGTTTTCTCCCATGAACATGCACAACATCTATTGGTATCGGTATACCATCAATTTTATATCCTGTCAACTCACAAGCACAAGGTAATCTGTAGGTAAATCCGTAGGTTGTTCTAAGAGTACAACGACATATTTCCTTGTTAGTTCCTACATAATCTACTCGTTTTAACTCTTCAGCAATGCGTCTCAATGCATCTCGAGACACTGAACCACGTAAATTATTGTAAAATGGACTTACGTGGGCGTGTTCAATTTCAGAAAAACTCTTTTGAAAAGAAGCTCTAATTTTGCCCAATTGGAACTTTAAGTTGTCATTCATAGCCTCCCAACATTTGACCATGTCACCAATACTGTTCCCCAACATTTGCTTTAACTTCCAATGAGCAGACTCAACCCTAAAATTAAAACATATTAAAAATATTTTGAAAAAATACAAAAAGATCTACAATTTAGAAATACTAAAAATAAATACATACCGATTAGTCGTGGTGTTATCCAAATGTAGCACTCGATTGATCCATCCTCCAACAAATCTTTGTCTATGTGGTGTCAACCATATGTCCTTCACATAATCAATAAATTCATTACAATCAACACGTCTGCTCAAGTTGGTTCAACCGTTGATCATACTCAACCTCATCACTAGCCCATACAACATCCATCCATAATTCGTCAATTTTCTTTTGCATGTCACTAGCCACATATTGTTTCCGTTTTGCACTGACATTCTTGTTAATATGAAATCGACATAGCAAATTGATTGACCTTGGAAACACAATTTCAATGGCTTTCATCAAACCAAGATCTCTATCTGTCAAAATCACTTGTGGACACAAATCTTTCTTCACAAACAATTGTTTAAGCTTATCTAGCACCCAACAAAAAGTCTCAGTCTGCTCAGACTCAATATACGCAAATGCGACAACAAAAGTCAACTCGGTTGATGTCATGCCAACAATTTCAAACAAAGGTCGCCTATATTTGTTTGTCTTGTAAGTGCTGTCCATAACTAACACAATAGAAAACTTAACTGAATCTGGATGAACGCAAAATATATCTCTAATAACTCCAGAGTCATCTCTTTTTCTACTCCAATAAACATAACCTGCATCCTCAATAAGCTTAAACAAATGTTTGTATCTCACTTCTAGGACCTCTTATATTTTTACCAACAAATGCTTGACCTTCTAATCTATCAGGTAAATCATGGTTATGAACTCCACATTTTACATCAATCTTCCATCCAGATCCATCAGTCGCTGGAATTGATTTGATTCTAAATAGACATCCACATTTTTTCGTCACACTCTGGGTTCCACTATCAATATCTTTGTGTTTTCCACCTTTATCACATCCAAATAATAATTTGTTACTTCTTCCTCTCTTGATTGTTTCAATATCTGAACGAGTGATGATAACCGTTACTTTATTTCGGATTCCGATCTCTTTAACCCATCTTATCACCTCTTCTCGTGTACCAAATCTTTGAGTAGTTGAAAAAACATCAGACGTATCTACACATATCTGATCTTTATCGCATATTTGTGGAGGAATTTCTGTACCTGCATAAAAAAAATTTACAAAAGCAAATCGGAAGACTCAGGAAAAGAGTTATGATAGACAAAGATAATAAACCGGAAGACTTGTAAAAAGAGTTCCGATAGACAAAGATAATAAACCGGAAGACTTGTAAAAAGTGTTCCGGTACATTTTTCCTTCATACCGGAACTCTTAAGACAAGTGTTCAGGTAAATAATACTACCAAACTGGAAGACATGACATATAGTCTTCCGGAAGATTTTTACGTAAAATTCAAACTGGAAGTCTTTGTTTAACTCTTCCGGTACATATTTTGTATAAACCAGAACTCTTAGTCAAGGTCTTCCGGTTTGAAAAAAACAACATATCGAAA